TGGTTCGGGACAGACCGCATTTTAACCCTTGAGATCGAAATCGGAGATAAACGTAATCGGTATCGGGTAGTGAGTAAATCAAAGGCATGGTGATAAGCTTCGTTGTAGATTGATTTTGCTATTTAGGCATACGAGTTGGATATGTCATAAAGTGGTTTCATTTATAATAATGTTCCGTGTTGTCAATACTATATCTATTCCTGGCTTTTGTTAAAGTAATTGAGTAGTTTTTTTGACTTGATACGCGTCTGTCAACCGAAAATACTTTGAGCGATTTTCTTACTTACTTCTTTAAATTACAAATTCTCACGTTGAAATCCCTTAGCCACAAGTCTCGTTTTGTACCTTGCAATCTTCCCAATTTCATCTTTGTTTTCTTTTAAACACCCACTTACACTGTATACTTGTTACTGCCACTGCCTTTTACCACTGTCCATGTCTCATTCTTCTCAAGGGACTTGATTTCTTCTTCTACAGCTTTTGCCCATTCCGTAGCTTCCATTCCATTCATAGCTTCTTCATAAATGAATGGTTCACCTTCAACTACACTTGCTGGAGTATGTAGTCATGCATTTGATAATGCACGCGGTTTATGAATAACTGGTCTTGAGTTGTATCTTCTTTAGCCATCGCTCCTTCCATCCTGCTCAACTTCCTCATTGTCTTCGTCTTCTTCATACCTAATTAAAATTTTCATCTTTAACTTCATCTTCATGTTGAGTTTAATTACCATCATTTAGAAAGTGCATTTCTTCTTTTTCACTTTCAACTTATAAATGCGTAGACGGTTGAAAATATCACTCAAGTCTTTGATGTGTTGTTCAAAAGTGGTGGATAAAATTATTAAGTCATCAAGGATATACGGCAAACTTGAACAAAAACTGTTTATTAGCTTCTGAAACGTTGCTAGAGCTGTGGATAGACCAAAAGGCATCGTCTTATATCGATAAAATCCAAATGTCGTGACAAAGGCGGTTTTATCACGATCTTCTTCTCTGACAGGTACTTGATAATAACACTCTTCAGGTCTAAGGTGGTTATATAGTTAGCTTTTCCAGTTAAATGGATAAGGTCATCTATACGAGGCAACGGGTAATGAACATTCTTGGTGACAGCATTCAGTCGGCGATAATCAACACAAAGACGTGAAGTTCCATCTTTCTTCGGTACAAGGACGACTGGAAATGCGTGTGGCGATTCTCTTTCTTCAATGATATCGCTGGCAAGCTCCTGACGCAAAACTTCTTTCTTCGCAGGAGATAAGCGATATAGTGGTGCAGCTATGGGAATATCATCAGTGAGGATGATGGTATGCTCAGCATATGGTGTAACTCTTATATTTTCATCGAACAAATCCTTGTTATGTTCCAACAGCGATTTCAATGTCCCTTCTTCAATATTGGAAAGAGTCGGTAACGACAAATCATTCCCGTCAACAACAGATAAAATTGCGTTGGAATCAATAACTCCATCCTGTAATGGTAAGGAGTTGCTTGCATTGAAAAAGTATATCTTCTTAGGTATATTGAGCACTATATCGAATTGTGATATGAAGTCAAGACCAAGTAAAGTCTTACTATCTTTGTAGTCTGGAACAGCAATCATTTGCAGTTTTCGTTGTTCATTTATAACTTCGATGGAACACTAGTACATCTTTGCTCCAACTTCTCGGGCAAATACCAGTTTTATTGGAGTAGTTTTGAATGGATGCCGAATAGCATCTAAGTGGCTTAACAACTTTGAACCTGCAATACTGTATCTTGTTCCGGAATCCACAAAAGCAAAACCTGATTTACTTTGAATGATGACAGGTATCATGGGTCTTAAAGGCGGACCATCAAACGTTGATAACAAACTGGTAGGTTCTCCGAGATCAGCAGCGAGCGTTTCGACAGATGAAATGGTTGTTGGTGCAGGTTTACATTGAGGACAATATGGAACGAATATATCCTGGATTACCGCAACGATAGCATGTTACATTTGTGGAGGACGGGTTACTGGATCAGACTGTTACGGCAGAAGCCAAGTCTGCTTTCTCAGCAGACTTGGCTTCAAATTTTCTACAAACATGTCCATATGCTTTGTAAAATGTACACCGGTCCTTGGGCTTTTCTGCAACGCGCGTGAAAGTCACTTTTACATTGGATTCAGCAAGGCTGGATTCGATTGCTCAGCATTTGTCGATCATCTCTGAAAAGTTCTGGAAACTATGTCGAGGAAGTTTTTCCCTGATTTTATGGTGAAGGAGTCCATAAACCATTTCTACCTTGTGCTCCTCGGGCAAGGGTGTGATTGTTGTCAACTTTGAAAGCAGTCCGTTGGTTCCGTACTGCCTTGTTCTCGAGAAAACAGCTCTCTATAAATCTGATGTGCTGGTTTGTTAAAGCCAAAAGCATGACGTAGCGCATCTAAAACTTCAGACCATAAGATGTTTGGCTTTTTGATGCCTTGCCAGCATACTGCAGCAGCGCCATCTAGTAGCAAGGGTAAACCTTTTACAGCGTTATCGTCACTGATGTTCACACAGTCTTTGTAAATAGTGATGGCATCAATAAAAGCTTCAGCATCTTCGTCTGGCTTTCCGGAAAACCTTGAGCCGCATTTAGAAAAATTGGCAGCTGCACTTTGGCTCGAAGTAGATTGTGGCGTATTCTGGAATATATCTCTCATACCAGCGAGTAATGTTTGTAATTGTTCATTCGTCAGAACAACAGGGACACCCACTTAGTCTTGAATTCTTTGAGACGATCGAAGATTATAAGGCATTAACAGGAAAATCCAGCTTGGAGTAAGCTAAGCGATGGAAATGTAGTGTTGAGAAACAGCGAACTCGGGTAAATCCTGACAAACAGGCGACTGTAATGTAGGAACCCTTCGAACAAACTTGAACGGACACACAGGAAACTGTAATGTCGACACAAAATTGAAGGACAAGCTTGGACATACAGGAAACTGTAATGTCGGCACAAAAATGGAGGACAAACTTGGACACACAGGAAGCTGTAATGTCGGCACAAAAATGGAGGACAAAGTTGGACACACAGAAAACTATAATGTCGGTTTGTGTGGAATATTCCAGAAATTGTAGGAACAATATCTGAATGTGGCAAAACTTACACCACAGAACTTACACAATTCAGGCAATTAATGCACATTTACACTGATAATGTCTCGCGTTTTATAGTTCATTGATCTACAGTCACAAAATTAGTCCAGAAAGTCATTGGAGTGGTGGTTCACTACAAAACCCCAGGCCCCACGTTGGGCGCCAAATATGTAGCGGGTATCGAAGGGAACTCCAACATTATGCACTACACATTCTTTTTCAATGTTTTTTATTTAACAATTTAACTGGAAAAAATAGAAAGTCGGCAAAATAATATCAAAATTACTCATAATCAGACTGATTATACGATGATGAACTTTATCGGGGAAAGTGACTGATTGATTGATGACACTTGTCAGACATGGTAGTGGCTATGGCTACGGCAAAGGTAGTGGCTATGGCCAGGAACTAACTGTCGATACTAACCTCACTTCACTTGTCATATTAATGTACACAGATGGTGGATGTAGTGTTGGTTGCCTACCCTATATTATAAATCTTCTTTTTACATAATGACTTAACGATTGAAAACAGATGAATACATATTATAATTAATTTACAAAGGACCTTGCACACCTCTTATGGGATTTTCGTTTTCTGTCAAACTCAATGAAATTTTGATATGTGGAATATCTTGAGTTCCTGATAAAAAGTTCTCATAGGCTCAACCCGAAACTATGAATAGTTTTGGAGGTATAAGTAGTTTCATGTCCAAAAATTGTACACATTTTTTATGCATTTACATCTACCTGTCACCTGAGCGTGTGGATACCTGTCAATCCTGGTATATTATTAGGAGACAAGTAGATGTGAATGCATACAGGGTGTCTCCGTTTAACTGGTCAAAAATGCTAGGGTATATAGAGGAACCATAGAGAAGTAGTTTGAGACAGGAAGTGCGTCGTTTCCAAAATACAGGGTGTTGAAATTTAAAGAACCCCCTTTCATATCATCTGGGAGGGCTAATGCTAATACGAATTTTCAAATATCATTCCTACATCAATAATCCCTGAAAATTTTAACAGCCCTTCAGTGCGACTATTCTTGAAATCTCGCTGAGAGAGTAATCCCCGATATTTGAGAGAAAGTGGGCGTGTTTTCCCCAAAATGACAAATGTCTTATTCTTGAATTTCTCACTCAAAAAACCCTGTGAGATAACATGAGGCACAAAACATGAGGTCAGATATCTACAAAATAATTGATTGTCATTTAAATCTACGTTTTGATTGGTCAAAATTCTCACCAGAAATTTGGAATGGTGTCCCATTTTCATCTCACTTTCAGGTTCTACCCAAACTCAAGAATACTGTTTTATGAAAATCGATGAGAAACGAGGGGCGAACTCACTTTGTGTCACTTCCCGGCGAGTACTCCTTATCACCCGTTTCAAGAATAGCCTCACAGATGATATGAAAGGAGGTTGTTGTAATTTCAACACCCTGTATTTTGGAAACGACGCACTTCTGACCATCGGTGTGCTATCTTAAACTACTTCTCTATGGTTCCTCTATATACCCTAGCATTTTTGACCAGTTGAACGGGGACACCCTGTATAAACTGTGTACATTTCTTGTAGATTGAACTACGTGTATCCTGTATCTCGAAAACTATTCATAGTATCGTGTTCAGCCTTTTAGAACTTTTTATCAGGAAGTCAAGGTATACCGCATATTATCAAAATTTCATTGAGTCATTGAGTTTGACAGAAAACCAAAAACCAATAAGAGGTGTGCGGAGTCCTTTAACTTATCTGATTTTTTAATAACTCGACCTGAACGAGAAATTATGACACCCCAAGATTTCTGCGACTCACAAGAAAGAGCATTACTTACCTGAAATATCTTCCGTAAAATCTTTATCATATGTCACATTTTTGGGAGAAATGATTTTTTGTTAAGACTTATTATTGTTATCACTAATTCTATGGGACTGGGGTAGTGCTTTGTTGGTACTCTTGGTGGCATCACTTTCAGAATATTCATCATTATCACTGTCAGCATAATAATCATCATGCACCCTTTTAATTCAGTAAAACAATCATAAGATAATTTATAAAAAAAATAAGAAACAAATCCTGTTTTTTTTCTTTCACACGCTAGAAAAACATAAATTAACATCCAACTAAAACTTTCTTCAAGTCCAGCCAAAAATATTCCCGTATAGAAATAATAAAATCTACCTTCAACTAAACGCAACTCGTTAATTAACTGACCAGAGAACTTCTTTCAGAATTTAGAGCTAATTTCCCTGGGGGCTTTAAAACTCCTTTAAAGTTACATCGGTAAGCAAAAGTTGTTTTTGTTTTTAGTTTTCTGCTTTACTACCACTACTGCTTACTGAATGTTGCGGATGTCTTAAGACTAATTAATCCAAATGAATTGATGCTGAAAAGGAATTTGAATTTTTAAGTAAAAAAGGCTCCGATTATAGATGAAAACAGGAAAAAACAAAGCGAAGTTTCCGTATAAAACAAAGAATTACTCAACAAAAAAACTACAATCGAGAAGTTTATAAGTTAAATAGGGCCGAATTTGGGCCATTAATCACCCTCTAAAAGGACCTTCCACTCCATTTACATCCCCATCGAGATTATATGGGGTTGTTTTATCAGCGAAAATGGATTTTTAGAAGAACATTTATGATGTAATTAAGATTTAGAATCTTTTGTATCTTTGAATAATGATGGCCAATTTCTTTCTACACACAAAGGATTTTGATCCAATGGAGCATTGAAAAAGGAGTCTCAAGCATAATTTAATTGTACCACAATAATTATTGTACCATCAAAACAGAATGTAGCAAACAAATTAGAACTGTCGTGCTAAATTAATCAAAGTGCCATTTTAAGACAAGAACTTAAGGGAGGATGTTCCCCGTATATATAAATGCGCCCTGAAAATTTAAAGTTTTGAATACTGGAAAGGTGTTGAACAAAATTTACAGGGCGCCAATTAAGCGAAAAAGATAAATCGTTGACAAGCGACTTGGAAAAGGCGTATATAGGCTTTGTTTCTGAATTTCCTCGGAAAATTTCGATGAATGGGTGATATTTTTGTTTATTTTAAATTATTTCTTTGAAATCCCTACAAGTTTAATCCGAGTAGAAATTTATTGATCTCCTATCCTTAATCAGTCGGTATAAAATTGCAGTGCTATGTCTATGTCAATCGGTCCTTTTTATTATCTATAAAAGTGCAATAAAATTAAATTACGTACGTTACTCGTCGTGCTTTTGCAGTTTTAAGCGAAATTTATGTGTGTAACAAAAATCTCATTTTATATTTAACTATTATTTTTAGTAGGTAGTTAAAAAAAACTTTTAATGAAAAATGGTTAAATTATTAAAGCGAATCCTAGGTTTTTCAGGCTGAAAACTTATCATTTTGAATGCTGTTAGCAGTAGTGCCTAATTACCATTCACGTTTAAAACGTAAATTTCATAAATATTTGAATTTGAATTCAGCAAAGGTTAAATCCGGATGCTCTTTGTACATGGCAAATAAAATAAATAAATTGTTCAATAATAGCCCTATTTCCCATCCTTATGCCCAAATAAGCTACACTTGAAACAGAATTGCCTCCATTCCAGCATGATGAATAAATAAAAATTATTTAACAAATAAATTCTCTACAGATCTGTCAATTACGATTTTAATTTGGTTTCAACGGGTTTGCAGCTGAGAAGCTTCAAAATTGAAATTATCGAACATTGACAATTTTCCAAAGATGACAATGACACCGCTCCGTTAATTTTTATCCGATTTTACCGTAATTAGACTCAAAGCCAATTGAATTCTCTATAAGTCAGTTGATTACGATTTTAATTTAGTTCCAACAGTTTTGCAGCTGAGAAGTTTCAAAATTGAAATTACCGAATATTCCAAAAATTACACAATTACACTGAGATAATAGAGAGATATTGCCAATCACAATACCGCATGCATTACGATATTTACGCCGCGCTATTACATAACGTCAAGCTATAAATAAAAGCTGAAAATGAAACTTATTGCCACGTTATTTCTATAATTAGCGCTGCGCTCATGTAGAAGTCAAAATGTCAAATGTTTCGATACAACCTATAACCTGACTTTTTTGTTTATTTTGTTTGTTGATTTTTGATTCAGAAATCAGATTTCAAAAAAAAGTAGTTAATTGAAAAACTGTGATAGAGGTACCTACATACCTTATGATGGAGGAAGATCTTGAGGCGGTGATCTTAGCTGGGGCTAACGAGAATGCTATTGAGTATGTGATTTTGCACCATATACTAGGAGTGGAGCAAAACCAAGGAGAAGTCCTTCAAAACCCTAATATTAATATTGAATTTGATTTGGATAATATGCAGGAAGAAGATGTGAAAAATAATTTTCGATTTGAGAGGCAAGATATCTATAGATTGGCAGAAGCTCTAAGAATCCCTCAAGCAATTCATACTTCAACCCGTAATTCTGTTAGAGGTTAGTGTTATTCATTTCAAGATTCCAGGGCTGGAACTCAATATCTCTATCTCTAACCTCTTCGGTCCGTCTTTTGGCTTTATTGGACCCACCGAGGGAACACCAACACCAGTTCCAAGGGACATTTTGTTTAAAATAATACATACAAACCAAACAAGCTGCCACAAAACACAAACTCAGAAGTGAGAACTTGAGTTGGCACCCAAAACCCTAACCCATAACACAAAGAAATAAATAATAAACAAAAATCCTAACCTCTCCAGAGAAAAATCGAAGTAGGAGTTGTCAGTTGTCATGTCAATATTGTGCGGTATTTTGAATAGCGCCCAACGGTACGTAAGCATAAATAACCCGAAGCGCTAACCCTAATAGCGGAAGACACGTAAAAAAGCGAATCGCGCATCCAATAAACGTCAAAATACCGTAAGCGTTATTAGCGCATGACGTTTTTTGTCGAGCAATATCTCTCCAGTGTTTGCTTCACAGCTCCGTTAATTAAAGAAACTTAAATTCTCTACAGACATGTTAATAGTGATTTTAATTTGGTTTCAACGGTATTGCAGCTGAGAAGCTTCAAAATTTGAATTATCGAACATTGAAAATTTTCCAAATATAACACAGACAGTTTTTGCTTCACAGCTCCGGTAATTTTCAACCGATTCTACTGTAATTAGACTCTAATTAAAGCCAATCAAATTCTGTATAAACTTTTCAATTACGATTTCAATTTGATTTCAACACAATTGCAGCTGAGAAGCTGACACTGAGACAGTTTTTGCTTCACAACTGCGTTAATTTTCATCAAATTCTAACGTAATTAAACTCTAATTAAAGCCAATTAAATTCTCTATAAACCTGTTAATTAGGATCAAATCAATGGCAACAAGTTTACTTAAAATATTCAATGAAGTTTAAATAAACCTATAAATATATCCTGTTCACAATCCGATGTCCACAGGTGCTGGTAAATTTATCACCTTTCCCTATCAAATAGCATTGAAAGGTGATAAATTTTACCGGTACCAGTGGACATCGGATTGTGAACGGATATTAGATCTATATTGTTGAATGTTGACATATCAGATGAGTCATCCTTCTGCTTCATACAAAACCTGTCTCATTTATGACTGAGATGGGGCTCTGTTTCCCCTGATGTGGTCTCTTTTCCTCCCCTTATAGCCACCCCAATCTTCGCTACTCATAACTGTGTAATGACCCGGAAAATAGACCCGTAAATTACAATGTCTTTACTGTAAAAATTAAATATAATCAAATAATGAAACACTGAATTTCCGGTATTTCAAATCAGTATCGATAAATTGAAAATGAAACAAATTAGCGTGACCCCAAATTAAATTAAAATATTTATATACGTTAAAAAATTCTATTATTTAGTCATGATGTCATCTAACATTGAATCAATGAACTTATTTAAAGCGTGGCCAAGGTAATTAAATCCGTGATTTATGGCTCACGTGTTCACGGCTTTCTTTGTGTTGTTCTCACATTCTTGAACCAATGTATTGACCCCTATAAATCAGGAAATTGCGACATAATTATTCGATTTTAAACAAATAAAAATAACAAAAATTTCAAGGCGATTGCATCATCTCAATTGTTATGGACAAAGAAATTTTGGGGGGATCGTATAATATAAAGACAGCGGTTTCAGTTGAGATCATTAGGGTGGTCAGATGAGTTCGCAGTCCAGTCCAGTTTGAGTTAAAGTCTACAGTACCTAATGTGTCAGTCCGAGTAAAATTCGCGAAAAGTTTCCTTTATTGTCTCGGAAACAGTCTTTGAAATAGTAACGGAAAAATTTGAAAGAAAGAACAATTAAATTCGTTCAAATATTATGTGCGTGCTCTAGCTAAAATTTTTAATAATTAATTAAGTATTTTATCGAGTGACAATTTAAATGTAAGTACTTTAGTGGTTATTAATGTTCTGACTCTAACAATGATTCTGAATGATAAGAAATGAGTTGACAATTACTTTTAATGCCTAAAAACTTGAGTGATTTTCACTAGTAAAACTTTTTGACTTTAACTTTAACTTTGGAACTTTATTGCATAAATAGTAATACTCGAGTGTTTTGACTATAGAACTTTAATTGCCTTCAGATATAATGACATTCTAATTTAATTTTGCAATGAAAATATGAAGGGAATTTATAATGCACTTAACAAGTATCGATTTTGAGTAGGGATTATTAAATAATTTTGAATTGGATTGTCCAATTGAAGTTTAAGGGTTATAGTAACGAACTAATAAGAATTTGAATAATTTTGTATGTTGGCTAGGATTCCGAAAATAGTAGTTGTTCTGATTAAATTGATAAAGAGTTTTTGTTTGAAAATTGTTGTTCATGTTGTAACATTGATGATAAAGAGCTGATATTTTGAATTAGGGTTTTATTTTTCTTGTAGAAATTATTGTAAGGTTTTATAAGAATAAGTTAGTAATACCTAAATTAATAAACAAATAATTATTTTGATTGTGCATAAGCAGTCAGTAAAGGACTTAGGAATCTTTAAGAATTTATAGAAATAGGTGA